AAAAAAAATAAATAACAAAAATTAACAGAATTGCTGTTCCACAATGAGTTTGAATGCTTATGACCAGGGAAGTTAGCTAATATTTAGAAAAAGTAAAGGCTTAAAGGAGAAGAAATTTCTAACTGCAGAGATAGCAAAATGAAGGTTAATGTAAAAGGCAGTGTGAAAGGCTAGAAAAGACTGGAGAGTCTGAACTTTGGGAAGCTAAAGATGACTTAAATTAGACTGAAATGAGGGAGAACAAAGGCAATGAAGCGTTACAGGGAGCTGTGAAAGGGAGCGCCTTGGGTTCTGAGAGCCCTCAGTCAGCCTGTGGTGCTTCAGAGCAGAAACCTAGAATGGATACTTGAAAGACAAACGTTGGCTGCTGATGGAATGAAACGAGGCTCTGGATTTCTTTCAGAGCAGAACCCACTTGACACAGTCCAGCAAGGCTGGAGTTGGTGGCAGGCACTTAGGCACCTGGGAAGAAGGTATCAGCCTTCAAAACACAGGTGATTTGGGTTGTCATCTAAGTCTTGTTTATTGTGTCTAACAGCAGTGACTTGACTTCAGATGTTGATAGTTTGTGCTACTAGGGTGTCTTACCTTAGAAGCCTGAATTCTCATTGTGCTTCTGAACAGATAATGTTCTCCTACTACCCACACTTGGGTTTCTGTTCACACCAGCTGCTGCTTGCTTATCTTCATATTCTGAACTCACAGGGCAGTATTGAAGCCATGATGATAGCTATAAATACGTGGTGTGAATCCTCTGACCTGGAGGAAAGTGAGGCTCAGCTAGCACAGGCCTGACACAGCCTGCTAAGAGCTAGGGGAGACAGATACGATGGTGTCTTAGAGTCCAGACACCACAGCAAAATTCATACTCGCTTTGACCAAACTTAATACACTGATTTTTATTTACAAGAATGTGAAAGACTTCGTTTTAAATAACAGCAAATTTCATGTGTACTAATAGTCGTATGGCTGAAGCTGTCTCAAAGGCGTTCTCTCAGGGATTCAGAATATGCCTAAAGGGCTTTCTTCTCAAGGTATTCTTACTGTAAGTGCTACTCTCATGAGAAACACATTCTCACCCTACCTCTGGAACACTACATATTTGGCTCAGCTGGACACAGAATCTAGAATCTCAAGCAAATCAGATACAACACATACATCCCTAGAAATTCCTCAGAAACTCAGAGACATATTTTGACAGCTTTAAACATCACTTTATATGTTTGGTAAATGTTTATTAGCACCTATATGCAAGGCACAATGACAGGTAAAAGACATTCTCGGTGTGATCAATTCATGAAGGACTCATTACTGCCAAGTGAATAATAAGAGCAGCAGTCCCCCCAATCAAGAGCCATCCGTCCAGGAGAAACAAGTGCTGCGTAAAGGCCACTAGTCATTCAGAAAGGCCCAAGAAATCTGACACATGAGAACAAAACTCTTCAGATCCTAGCTCTTCCAGCCAATATTCCCATGCCGTCTTATCAAGTATTATTCCAATCACTTTCTAAAAGGTACATGATAATTCAGCTCACCCAGAATATATTTTCTAATACCAGATAATGTAATTAGTAAATAAACCCCCATTCACAAATTCTGTTGCCAGCAGGCTCCACAGTGGCTTCAGTTCAATGACAAATGAGCACCAACTTTGCTATGCATACATGAGGTCACTGTGACAGAACTTTCTTCCCGACGTGGCTCCTCTGATGTTGAGTGAGGTATGAAGTTTGGGTGAAGCCTTTTCCACACGTGTCACACTGATAGGGCTTCTCGCCAGTGTGGATTTTTTGATGTTCAATAAGGCTTCTATTCTGAGTAAAACTTCTGTCACACTCATTACATCGGTAAGACACAGGAGTTTCGGCAGTTTCCCACTGGCTTTCCATCTTGGCCTTTCCTACCTCTCCAAGCTCACTTCTATCACCGTGGACCGTCTGGTGTCTCAGGAGATGTGAACTCCGCCTAAAAGCTTTGCCACACATGGTGCACTGGTATGGCTTCTCCCCAGTGTGAATCTTGTGATGTTCAAGGAGACTGCAGCTTTGGCTGAAGGTTTTCCCACAGTCCTCACACTCGTAGGGCTTCTCTCCCGTGTGTGTTCTCTGGTGTTTGATAAGGTCTGAACTGTGACTAAAGACCTTGCCACACTCTTCGCATTCATATGGCTTCTCACCTGTGTGGACTCTTTGGTGAATGACGAGGGCAGAGCTCCCTATGAAGGCTTTCCCACACTCCTCACACTCGTAGGGTTTCTCTCCAGTGTGGATCCTCCTGTGCTTGGTCAGGCCAGAACTTTGGGCAAAGTTCTTTCCACATTCGTGGCAAAAGTGCCGCCTGCTCCCTATAGCATTTTTCTGCTTTGTTTGTAACTTGTCCTCCTGTTCATCAGCTTCGACACAAGCAGGAACTTGGGCAGAGTCCTCACCCAGGTGGCACAGAGTCTTGCCAGGCTCTTGTCCTCGACACTCCTCAGCTGGACACGTGCCCCTGATCTTTGCCTGCATTTCACCACCTGAAACAACAAGGGCCAACAACGGTGAGTTAGGCCGTGTGGGAGGAAGGCTGTGTGATGGGCCCCAGAGCCAGGAGTGGACAGAGCTTCTGCATGGCAAGGATTCCAGTGCAGGGACGAGGATGGGAGCAAAGGTACCAGAGGAGGATACCTGTGAATGGAGTGGGGGTCCTGGAAGGAGGTGCAGGTGGGAATGGAGGGGGTGGGGCAAGAGGCTAAGGACTGTGCTGGGGACACTCGTACTGCTAGTTTGGGAGAGGGGGATGCGAGTCACTAAGGTGGGGCCACACATGAGGATTAGATGCTAAAGGGGCCGGAGCAGAAGGTGGCAGTAAACAGGGTAGGGATTTCTGAAATATTCTGCAAGAAACAGCAAAAGTAGGGATTTAGACTTTGGTCCTGATCAATCAGATAGGAACTGTCATCTCTGCAGTCATGCCAGTAGAGGCAAGGTGCCCAAACAGAAGTGTCATTCGTACTGGGAGTTCAGTTTGGAGCCCCTACTATGCTGCTATGTTGGTAAACCTTGATTGTCAATGTGACAGGTTAATGGGATACTAACCCTAGAAATGTGCTAACCTGTTGATGAGTTTGTAGCTATATGGGCTGTCAGAGACAGAGCCCAGCTGGGGGAGGTGGATCATAAGGGTGACACCTGGAGACCTGACCTGGTGCCTGGCCCCTTCCTCTCTGGCCTTTGTAACCCACACTGCTTCCTAGCTTCCATGAGGTGACCAGCATTCCTCAGTCACACCTATCTGCCATGACACTTCTGCTCTCAAGCTGGCTAACGGGACTGAAGCCTCTCAAGTTATCAACTGAAATAAACTTCTCCCTTAAGTGGATCAGAGCACTTTTGTCCTACAATGGGACAAGGGACTAGCTGAGTGACCTCTGACAAGTACTGTGGTGGTTGATACATTCTGTGAGCTTGAGGGCTCAGAAGCCTTGCTGGATCAGCTCAGCGACTCCACGCAGCTGCCGCTCCTTCCTTTGCCTTTCGCTGTTTCCACCTCCATGAACTGCTGCCTTGTGCCTTGTGCTGCTCTGCCTCAGAGCCAGCCAAGTATAGACTGAAACCTCCACTAAGTGTGAACTAAATAAACCTTTCCTTCCTTAATTTTGGGTGTCAGGTATTTTGTCCCAGCGATGAGTAAAAAATAACCCAGACAAGTACTTAACCTCCTGCGCCTCCACACCCTCACCTCTAAGGTCACTGTAGTCAGTGCTTAAGGTTGCGTCTACCTCACACTTTGGCTCCATGGCCCGTTTTCTGAAGTGTCCCTCAGCTTTCTTCAGTCAGACTTAGAAAGAGGAAGAGAATCAACACTTACTGAGGATCTAGTGTGAACCAGACCAGTACTGAGGGCTGCAGCTCCACCAGCTGACCCACAATGACTATAATAATGACTATAGTAAAGAATCCACAGGTCACAAGGTTTAGGGAGCTAATTACAGAGCTGGTCAGAAATAGATCACAGACAGTCATTCTGCATCCAAGTATCTTCTGACAGCTCAGCATCATGAGCAGGAGAACCAGTGCTCCTGTGTCTTACCTAGGGAGCTGGGGTGCTCACAGTTCCCCTGACTTTCACTTCTGCAGAATTTCACCGAAGGACCCAGCTGTGTCCACCCAGGGGCGAGCATCAGGGCCACGCCCTCCATTTTCAGGAACTCCTACAACAATAAATAGTCCCACCTTGTACCTTTCACCCATCACCACTCCCAAAGCAGCAGGTGCACAGAATGAATTTACCCCTTAGAGGGGCCCGTCAGGAGGAAGTGGCACACCTGGTTTACTTAAACCTAGCCAATCAGATCTTTATCCAAAAAGAACTAGCAACAAGCAAACAAAAAGACAAGACATATTACATCTAAACCGTCTAGAAAGCAGAAAGGCTTGGAAAACAAGAGGCAGTGCAGCAAAGGGGATAGAAATACACTACGTCTTCAAAAGATGTGTGCTATGTTTGGGAAGAGGGAGTGGGGGGCTCATTTACATTAATTTTTTTTAACTCCAATGAAATCTTAAGTGCAATAAGGAAAAAATAAGAGAAAGCAAAGGATACAGAGCAGTTCTCAAATACTGAGAACCTCAAGCAGGACCTGTAAATTGCAGTGACAGGAAAATCGAGGCTTAGTGCAGATTGTTTCTACTGAAATATAACCAACTCCAGGCTAAAAGGACATGCAGTAAATGTTGCTTCAAATGTAATTTTCAGAAGGCAGAGGCCAGGTCTGTTCCTCAGCAAAAGTGTGCTTTATTATACTGTATGTTAAAAAACAGGGCTGAGTGGGGGCTGAGGAGATGGCTCAGTGGAATAAGCGCTTCCCTGGCAAGCGCAAGGGCCTGAGTTCAATCCCTGGTTCCACCAAAAAAAAAAAAAAAAAAACCAGGGCTGAGGATATAGCTCAGTGGGGGAGAGCTTATTTAACACATGTAGGGCCCTGGGCTCAATTTCTAATTTCTACTGCAAAACAAAAATAACACTAAACAAACAAACCACTGTCACAATGAAACCTTCAGTTTGAATTTACTAAATTGCCACTGTTTTTGTTTTTTTTTTTTTTTTTTTTTTTTTAGGGAAGGGTCTACAGGGTGTTCAGGATCTCACTACTAGGTCAAACTCATAGTGAGCCACCTGTTTACAGCCTCCCAAGAGCTGGGATTACAGGCGAGCGCCACCACGCCCAGTCTCAATTGCCATCTCAGCAAGCCCGAGTGGAGCCAGCAGAGCAGGCCCAGGGAACCCCCAACACTGAGCCTGCTTGTAGGTGCTTTAATCCACTGAGCTATTTGGCTGGCCCTAAATTGCCACTGTTAAAGAAGAAAATCCCAGTGAAGACAGAGCTGTCTGTGGAAATGGGATGGGAAAGATGAGAGCAGCACAGAGAGGACTTCAGGGTCACATGGAAAAAGGAAGAGCCTCTAAGTGGACACCGAATGAAGCATACAGTGATAAGCAATGACAGTGTGAAAACACTCAAATCTCATGTGGATCTGGGGTAGAATGGGGTAGAACTGGGGAGCCAGGAACCTGAGAGGAAGCTCAACCGCAGGGAAGGTGCAGGGGTCAGGGGAGACTCCAGCTCACCTGGGACTCTGGAGCAGATCTGGCAGCTGCCATGACATCTCTGCTTCTGCCTCCCTGAGCAAACCCAAGGACCTGCAGAACTTAGAAGGAAAGAAGCTCTGGATGAGATCTACTCAGGTATTCAGTAGCCCTCCAGTGTGGAATCTAATATCAAAAACCAGACTATTGGATTCTTACTGAAAAGCTCATGCCGAGTGTGTTCCTTTCTAAAGGGCAGAATCCCTTCCAGCTCCCATCCTAGGGCCTAAGGAGTTCAGCTTATCCTACAGATACTCAAAAATCACATGCACAAGTTAGTAGGAGGGGTGCAAAACTTACTAGGAGGGGTGCAGAACTGACTACGAGTGGTTAAATAACACAACATGAAAACAAAGACTTCCATGTTTTAGAGCTTCTAATATTCTGTTTGGAGATGAGGATAGGGTTTTGGAGAAGGCTGTTACGTGTTTGTTTGTTTGTTTGTTTGTTTGTTATGTATTTGGTACAGAGTCTCACTACGCAGCTGGGACTCCTAGTGATCTCGTTTTCAGCCTCCCCTACGCAGGTACTTAGCTTGCTGAGCTATCTCACCAGCACTTGTTCTCTTTGTTGTTAAAGAACTTGATCAGATTCAAAAGACACATAGAAACCAGATGTTTCCCTATAAGAAGTGAACTTTGCAAGGAACAGAACATGAGTTAGTTTAGGCCAATGCTAGTGTTGAGAACCCAACAACGCGTTGGTTGGCGTGTCTGCATGCTGTATACCTTCGAGCCCTGCCCAAATGTTCACAGAGATGAACACCCCAAAACACGTAGCAGTTTGCTACTGAATGAGTTTCCACTCTGTTTAACCTACATACTTTAGAAAGCATAGCTTTGTTTGTAGGACTTTTAGTACTCCTTGAATATGCTGATTGGCTTTACAAATTCTGCCTTATTTTCTTTGTACCACTTTGGATATCTAAAATTGTATTGTTGATATACTTGCTATCTTTCTCTGTAGAAAGTAAACCCTCCTAGAGCAGAGCCTGCCTTACTCAGCTACCAACGCTGACTGCCATAGGAAGGGCTCTATAAATACAGTAAATGAATGCAGAGTACTCAGAAGTGTTGCAGAATAAAGTCTGCAGATGCCAGTTTTGATGAAGTCTTACTTCCTATGTCCAGCTTTAAGAAAACTTTCTACTATTTAAAACCCTTTTTTAGTTTCGGTCTCAGGGGTCAATCATAACTGTCAGTGGATCTTTTCGGTGACCCTTACTGAAGTCTTCAGAAGTCCTGGGCAAAGGCACGTGCACGCCCCAAGGGTCAAGCTTACCCAGCAAACACTAGGCCACATTAAAAACCCCACGACTCACGCACGAAGCAGCACTCACTGGTGTCCCATGTGGGCCGGGATCGCCGCGCTGCGTGCTTGGGCAGAGGCTTCACTGCCTGGACTTGGTCACTCTCTGACCTCTGGGCCGCTGTCACCAGTCCCGCCTTGCAGCCCTGAAGTGCTTGTCCCCGGTGGCTTAAGACCTAGAAGACATTCATTGACTTTCGTGTATCCATCAAACATTTCTATCCAGCTAACTACGTGTAAGCACTTTCTAGGTTCTCCGCACCGTTCATCAGCGCTCTGCGTCCAGTGAGTCACTGAACGCAGACAGCCCTGTGCGCTGCTACCATCTGGGTCCCGTGGTCGGCACACCGAGGCCGAGCGTAAGCAGCTCACCAAGACCCTCGGCACGGAGAGCGGGCGCTCGGCGGCCCGGCCCGGCTCTACCTGCGGCTCCCCGCGCCTCCGCGGCCCGCGCTCCAGCAGCGCCGCCGCCTGCTCCAGCACCAGCAGCTCCACGATCTGCTCCTTGCTGCGCGTCTCGGGCCGCAGCCACCGGCGGCAGCGCT